CCAACTCATTCCAAAAAAGAAAAGTAACTGGGTTTAGAAAGTAAGAAAGATTTTGAAAGAGAAGATGGCTTTGGGTGAGCTTCAGTTTCATTGCTAGATCTCTGGGGGAGTTTCCATCCTGCCTCCTTTCCAAGATATCTGCAGGTATTAGTGAGGAAAAGAGTTTGAATGTGGGGCATTTCTTTCCAGAAATGCAGGTTTTCTTCCCAAAGACATGGAAATGCCTGCATCATGAGCTGGGACTTCATGTGGTTGGAGGGAGGAGCTGTGAGGGCATTTGGTCAAACAAGGCAAAGTACTTTACGCTGTTGTGACCTCCCAGACTTTTGCTGATGGTTTGTCATCTCCATCAGAGGGAATGGAACAGTGACCCTTTCCTGCACTTTGATATGTCAGCCTCTGGTTTTGTAAATCCCAGTAGTGCAAACCGAGCTAGCATCACCTGAAGACCCTGTACCTACTTGGACTCTGCTTCTTTTCCATACTGGGAACAACCAATATGGCTTTGGGACGAGAAGGCACCTTGCTTCAGATTCTCCCCTGCCTTGTACCTTGCAGTCATTGCCAGACGTGGAAGAGTGACCATTGGGCTGGCAGAAGAATCTGCTCCTGTTTTACACGTGTTGGAATGACTGCAAGCAATAAGGAAGCCAGAAACTAGGTACTCCTGGCCCTTCCGTTCAGGCCATTAGTCCAAACTGCTTTTAGCTCTTGTGAGTTTCAGCGTCACAATGTGCTGGCCAAAAACTCTAAAATCAGTTCTATAGCATTGTGACAAACAAAATGTGCTGTACAACTCAATACAGTTGAAATAAAATCTCTATATTAGTGCTGCTGCGTCTGGACCCATTATTTCATTTGTGGTGCGTTCTGGCTGAACGTTTCCCTGGCTGTTGCTTGCAGCCCTGTCCCTTGGTTAAGGTATGTTAGGAATTTGGTATTCCTTCTCACAAATAATCATGGCTAGGACACAAAGCACTCTATGTCGTGATCTTCTCCAAAGCCCTGTGCTCTGTACCAAACAAACCCATGGCTCCCCGGGACAGCAGCGCCCTCCAGTCTCTCCCTTAATGACTCAGTGAGGAATTTTTTTCTTCCGAAGAAGAGCTGCTGGGGAGGATTTGCTGGCTTTTCAACAACGTGTTTGTACCACTTTTGCCTCTTAAGCTGCATTAGCTTTGAGCATCCCCAGGGATGGGATGGTTTTACTGGCTTCTGCATAGCTGGATCAGTGCCTGAGTTCCAGTTGAGGAGCATCAGTGTTCCTCCTGTGTTCTCTGGTGAGCTCATCCCTGCCCATTCCACCTCTGTACCTGGTGGCTCATTGTGTTCCTGGCTGCAGAATGGCAGCTGGGGGCTGCTTTGATAAGTCAACCTGCCCTGCCAGGGATGACGTGGGTATCCTGCCAGTCTGCTGGGGAGCTGGAGTGAATCTTTTAGAAAGTCTGTCTTCAATTTAAAGCATTCGGGGCATTGAACTGGTCTCTTGTGAAGTGTTCAGGTCAGACAGGTGCCTACACGGTTTGTTGCATCAGAAATATGAGCAGAAAGATAGCTTGTCACCTTTAAAAACCATCCGTTGCTCCTGAAACAGTCACACAAAGGAAGATCGCCTTTGAAGGCAATGTTTCTGGATGTAAATGACAAATGCTGTTTCTGCAATAAAAAAAAACCCCAAACCAACAACCCCACAGATTAACTTCCAAGGCTCTGCTCTTAATGTTTCCGTGCCATCTGGCTGTGCAGGAAGGTCTGGCTGCTGGATGGCTCTTCTGGCATCTCACGGCCAGATGGAACAGTACTTGAGCAGAACTGCCCCGAGTGCATTCAGAGCTCTGTGAACACTTTGCTCGAGATACTTGGAACTTGTGCTGTCAGGCTGGCCATGCCAGCAGGGACGCTGCACATCCATGAGTGCTGAGCTCAGAACAAAGCGTTATCGCTTCGAGGATATAAAGCCACAATTTGCCAACACGTTCAGCCTGAAGTAATCTATGTGTGCATGCTGAAATGTGTCTAAACCCAGCACAAACAGTGAGATCAAAGCCTTCCCCTATCAGTGCAGTAACTGCCATGAATTCTTAGCAAATTAACAACCGGAACTGCTTATGATGTACCATAATATCTCATCAGCCACTGAACAAAATAAACACAGATTTAGGTGTAGTGAGAAGTCAGGTCAAGCTTGTGATGGCTGGGTAGTATTCAGTTGCTAAGCCATTAATAGATAATGCTAAAACTGCAGCGGATGTGAAGAGACATGTTAAGCCTCCGTTATAAAAGAGGAAAAAAAGCAAGAATGTGATAGATGGCCTTCTAGTGAACCCTGCAAGTACTGAACAGGAAACAGTTTGAAGTGAGAGACAGACAAGGAGGATGCAGGCTTTCTGAGGTGTGTTTGATGTGTTTCCGACCCTTCCATTTGCAGTGGAACAGGCAGTAGTAGTAAAACACTCTCCCCAAATGGCGCACTTCCATCAGTGCTAACTGTGGTACGGTCCAGTCTGTGGTACTGTGGGTACTGTGGTACCTCAGAAGCTAACAGTGATAAATATGGCACATTGTCCTTAAGAGAAAACTGCTGCATGCAGTCCCAGTCTGTTCTGAAAACAAAAAGGAAAAAAAAAAGTTGCTGATGGCAGCACACATCTTCGGTCTCACAAAGTCCAGGTTAGTTACACAACTTCAGTCTCCAGCACGGCGATGCAAGTGCAGTTTTTACTGACATGGCTGCGTCTTTTCTCACTGAAAACACGCTTTGAGCCCATGTCAGCCTTCGGGATGGAAAAGCCGGGCCTGCTGGCCTGGCCACTGAGAGGGGGGTGCTGGGTCAGCCTGGGTTGGGGGCTGCTTGTGTGCCTCACGTGTCCGGGGATAAAATGCTCAGTGTCACAAGTGCCACTTCCCTTGTGTGGCTGTGACCCCATTTCGTACTCAGGCAATAAAGTGCTTCCTGTTACTCGTCTATAAAGCAGTCATGCTGTACAAAAAATGAGCAACAGAGAATGGTGTATTTGTTTATCAAGAACATATACCAAGAAAATGCAAGAACAATGTAGTTTCATTTATGATTAAAAAAAAAAAGAAAGAAAAAGCCAATTTTCTTTACGTTTGCATTTCTTATAAAATGGCTGCAAAGGCATCCAGGGCAATGCTCGTGTGGGGAAGGAAAACTGAAGTATGTGTGGGGTTGGAAGGGTGACAAGGCAGGTGTTGAGTGAAGGCTGGAGGGGAGATTGAAAGCATGCAGGAAAGGAGAGATGAGGGGAGGAAGCAGCATCAAGGCTGGCTGAGAAGGCCAGACCTGCTGCCAGCTGACAATGCAGATCTCGCACTGACCAACAGCTTGCAACCGATCCACACTTCCTACGGAGCAGCAGTTCGTTATTACTGATCTGTTTCAAGCGAGAAGAAACCTCCAGTGCTCCCCAGAAACACCTTTGCTCAAAGACAAAGATCAGAGCCTGATCCACCCAGCGACCAAAGGGGATTCTTACCTCCTCCTGGTCGCCAGGCTTGCTTGGTGAGTCAAGGACACTCCCATCGTGTGACACAGCTACCCGAGAGCTATGAAGCTGTTTCCTTCATGCTTCCCTCCTGCTGCATCTGCTGTGAAATTGTCTCGTGTGACCTGGCATGAGCTGTGAGGCACCAAAAGGTGCAAGCCCTGGCTTTGCCTGGAGCATGCAGCACTCTGGATGCTGATGAAAAAACATTCCATCGTTAAAAAGTCATCTGTTTTGCAGCTATGGGCTCATCTACAAAGTACTGGAGGAAACACTTTGAAGGGACTTCTTAGTTACAGGGACTCATTCTCTGCATTTTAGTTACGAGCTGCATATTGCTGAGTACGGCCTGAGTTACGGATAACACCATAAAACCACTCCTTTCCCAACATCAGGCCTTTGAGGTCTTCTTGCAGTGCAGCTACAGAGGGGAAGAAGAGAAGCTTTAAGTAATTTCACCGATGTAACGCAGGAGACAAGATGGGAAATTGTCTTGTGGGCTTTTTCTTGATTTTCAAGCTCACGTGCAGGGTGCTTTACTTTCAAGTTAGCGCTGTTTACACCTAGCAACGTCATGCGATTCTCCAGAGGATAAATTACAAATCGTTACTGAAGATACAAAAACGCAAAGGCCTGGGAAGATGTGTCACCTCCACACGGGTGGGAGGAGCTGGCGAGCTGTGCGCCATCGCGCAGCTTAAAGCCACTCTTTCTTCACTCTTCAGTGGCTTAAAGCCACTCTTCCACGGCCCAGGTCTGTGTGTGACAAAGCTGGCAGTATGCAATATGCTGACGGTGCTCATTCCCACTGTTGCTACGACTCAGAATACAGACAAATGTGCCCCATCCGCTCAGGACGGAGAAATAATGCTCTGGCAGAGAGGCAGCACTCTCTCCCAGCCCTCCTCATGATCACTGCTTGCCCCGTTCCCTGCTTTACCTGCCTGTTCTGCTCTGAGGTGACCCCAACACCTCTGAGCCGGGCACAGACCAACACCTCCAGGTGCCCCCACGCCGCCAAAGGTCGCCTCCTAGCGCTTATTTCTGCAGGAGGGAACCACGGCCAACACGTCACGGCCTCATTTTAACTCTACTGCTTGCACTGGGAGAGACCAGAACCGCGTGTGGACTTTCAGGGCAGAAGCGACAACCGTTTCATTTCTCCCGCTCCCATCGACACCCGCTTTCTCCTCCTTTCTGCAGGAGCAACCGGCGGGGTTTCTCTCTCCCCCAGAGGCGCCCACAGGAGGCAGCCGGCCGTCCCAGCCCTGCGCCGGGGCTCCTCCAGAGGAGCCATCCCTCGCCGAGCCGTTATTCAGGCTGAGAGGGTGCGAGGGGGAGAGCTGAGGGGACGGCGGGGCTGCGGTTGGACGGGAGACGCTGAGGGAATGGAGATGGCGGCGGTGCCGCGCGGCTGGCGGCTCTCGGGTCGCACCGGCGCTGCCCTGCGGCGTCCCTCGCGCGGCGGCCGTTCGGTGCGGAGCGGCCGCGGCCATGGAGGAGCCGCTGCCGCCCCCCGCCATCAACCCCAACAACTTCCCGGCCAAGCTGTGGCGGCTGGTGAACAGCCCGCGGTTCCGCTCCATCCGCTGGGACGCCCGCGGCGAGGGGCTGCTGATCGACCAGCCGCTGTTCGAAGCCGAGCTGCTGGGCCGCGCGGGGCCGCGCCAGGGCGGAGACGGGGCGGCCGGAGAGCTCTTCAAAACCACCAACTTCACCAGCTTCATCCGCCAGCTCAACCTGTACGGTTTCCGTAAGGTGGTGGCGGCTCCGGCGCCGCCCAGGGCCGGCTCGGGTCCGCAGAGCGACGGCGGTTCGGGCGGCCACCTGCACCACTTCCACAGCCCGCATTTCCGCCGCGACCGCCCCGACCTCCTGGTCCATCTGAAACGCATGACGAGCGCCAATAAGGCCAAGCTGGCGGCCGGTCTGGAGGTCGGCAGCCGCCCGCCCAACCGCTTCCAGCGCCCGCCCGGAGAGCCGCCGCCGCCGTCGCCCCCGACGCCCGGCAAGGCAGACAGGAGCGGTGAGCGGCGGTGGGGCGGCTGGGAGATGCCGCGTGGGGCAGACGTGCGATGTGCGATGTGCGATGTGCGATGTGCGATGTGCGATGTGCGATGTGCGATCCGCCATCCCCTCTCCGGCCCGGCCGCGCCACCTCGGGTTGCCTTGAGGCAAAGGATGGCACGCGGCCTTTCTGAGGCTGACAGGAGGTGGTGCGGCTGAGCAAGGGCGGTTGACACGGTAGAAGGAAGGGATGCCATCCAGAGGGATCTCGACAGGCTGGAAAGGTGGGCAGGGTGAACTTGAGGAGGTTCAACACGGCAAAGTGCAGAGTTTGGCACTTGGGCCGGAGGAATCGCAGGCATCCGTACAGACTGGTAGGAGCGGTCCTTGAGAGCAGCCCTGTGAAGAAGGACCTGGGGGTCCTGGTGGATGAAAAGCTGAACATGAGACAGCAGTGTGCATTGCAGCTCAGAAGGCAAATGGTGTCCTGGGCTCCATCAGCAGAGGGTGGCCAGCAGAGACAGGGAGGTGATCGTCTCCCTCTGCTCTGCTCTTGTGAGGCCCCATCTGCAGTGCTGTGTCCAGGTCTGGAGCCCCAGTACAAGACAGGGAGCTGCTGGAGAGGGTCCAGAGGAGCCACAAAGATGATCAGGGGGCTGGAGCAGCTCCCCTACAAAGACAGGCTGAGGGAGCTGGGCTTGTTGAGCCTGGAGAAAAGAAGGCTGCGGGGTGACCTCATTGCAGCATGCAGTACCTAAAGGGAGCCTGCAAACAGGAGGGGAATCAACTCTTTGAAAGGGGAGATAACAGCAGGACAAGGGGAAATGGTTTGAAGTTGAGGGAGAGAAAATTGAGGTTGGATGTCAGAGGGAAGTTCTTTACTATGAGAGCAGTGAGGTGCTGGAACAGCTGCCCAGAGAGGCTGTGGATGCCCCGTCCATCCCTGGAGGTGTTCAAGGCCAGGTTGGATGGGGCCCTGGGCAGTCTGGGCTGCTATGAAATGGGGAGGTTGGTGGCCCTGCGTGTGGCAGGGGGTTGGAGATTCGTGATCCTTGAGGCCCCTTCCAGCCATGGCCATTCTGTGATTCTGTGATTCTGAGGTGGACCAGGGCTGTGCAACCATAAGGGCATAAAGCAGGCAGCAGTGCCACTTCTGCACGCAGCCATCGGAGGTCTGGATGTCTGTGCTCTGCGGTTGTTTCCAGTAGGAGCTCTCATGTAACTCATGTGGTGTTTTGGGTGCTGTGCGCGAAGTTACACCTGTAACAGTGAGAAAACAAAAGCAAATCTTTCAGAAGGGAGGAAATGTGCTTTGATACTGAGGCCTGAAAACATTTAGGGTTTCTGTTTTTGTTTTTTCAACATTATTAAGTTTTGAGCCCCTCACTGCAAGAAAGAGACAGAGACCCTGGAGTGTGTTCAGAGAAGGAACGGAGCTGTGAGGGCTGTGGAGCACAGGTCTGATGGGAGCGGCGGGGGGAGCTGGGGTGGGTCAGAGTGGGGCAGAGCTCAGGGGAGGCATCACTGCTGCCTGCAGCTGCCTGAAAGCAGGTGGTGGGGATGGGGGTCGGCCTCTGCTCCCAAGTAAAAGTGCTCTGATGAGAGGGGATGGCCTCAAGTTGTGCCAGGGGAGGTTCAGGTTGGATATTAGGAAAAACTTGTCCAAAAGAGTCATCAGACACCAACACGGCTGCCCAGGGAGCCGTGGGGTCACCGTCCATGGAGGTGTTCCAGAGCCGTGGAGATGTGGCGCCGAGGGATGTGGTTATGGGCATGGTGGGGGTTGGACTTGGGGATCTCAGTCCTTTCCAACTGGAATGATTCTGTCATTCTACCACTTCAGTGAAATCAGATCTGACCGGTGTAATACAGGCCACGGATGGAGTAAATCCTAAGAAAAATACAGCCGTTAAATCATTACCCCTTTTATGGGTGTGTTTTTGCCCCTGCTGTTAGCTGGTGTTTGCTCTAGCAGCCTGAGTTTCTAGAAAGAAAAAAAAGAACAAAGAAAACATCAGTTCTCATGGCAGTCGAGTTCTGACAGGCTGACAATTCCCCGTGTGCTCTGTGCTGTGCTATTTAGGGGCATGTCTTACTTTGCAGCAAATATGAGGTAATTTGATAGATGGAAGATATTTCTGTTTGCAAAGTGTCCCTCTGTTCCAGGTGCATTGCAACATATAGCTCGTGTTAAATGTCCAGGAACAGTTCCTGTAAAGCAGCTGGCACATTGTACCCTAAAATCCAATGATGTCTTGTTTGTGTGTTAAACCACATTATCTTAACTTCCCCATCTACATGTAAAATACAAACAAAGGACTTCTCTCTTCACTCTCTGTTTTTACTGAGCTGGAAATAAACAGCCCTGTGCATGAGCTCTGAGTGAATTTTGGGGGACGAGCAGTGTGTATTTAGTGATTCTTCATGACTTGATGCGAATTTGCAGACCGGTGGCTGTGTGTTCCCTATTTCTCTGATCAGTTCCTATCAGAGGAGCAAAAGAGCAAAATGTGAGGCTGTTTTTCAGAAAGACTGGTTGGATGCAGGCTGTTCCAAAGCTCAGCACGACTGTGTGCAGTGCTGCGAGGTTGAACGAGCACAGTAATACTTCCCTGAATTCGATGAGGATTTCTGGGCCAGTGTTGCAAGAATGTCAGAAAACCTCTCACAGAAACTGCTGCCACAGTGTAAGAGCAGATGACATTTCACAAAATAACAACCCAGAGATGGATGGAAGGAAATAAAACAGCAGAACTGTTTGGGCTGCCTTAGTCTAAAGTGAAGTGAAGTGGTTGAGCTGACTGGGAAAAAGCCGACATAGGAATGACAAGTGATCTTATGAATCAAGGCGAGTTTGTGTATTTCAGAGAGGATATCCTTTATTACAGCCCTACCCAATAATGAACTACGAACGAATTGCTGAGCTTGTAGCATCCTTTCTCATTCTTCTTGAGGACTTGCTTGTTCTTGCAGAAATATTGAAACCCACACCAGGCCAGCGCATCGTCTGGCAAAGGAGGCAATCTGGCCTAGAATGTCAGCGCTTCAGAGAGTTACAAAAACAACAGTAGCAAAAAGCAAAACCCACTGGGGGTAAATGACAACCTGTAAGCAGTGTTGCCTGATCTGAAGGACAAATCATTGTTCTTTTTTTATCAGGTTACTTCTAACGCTTGTTCCCTTTCTCATTAGCACTGGTGCCCTTCTGTCACTTACCCAGAAGCCAAGTCACCTGCAGCTCTGCCTTCCTCCAGTGCTAATTTGCAGCTTGAGCTTTTCGTACTGGAGAATAAGAGGCTGGTGCAAGGCAGGACGCTTGGGAGGAAGCAGCTGCTTTTATATCCTCGCTTTGTTCAGACCCAACAATAAATCTGTCACTGCATCTGTTACCGGGTGTTGGGGTGGAAGGATCAGCTTGTGGGTTAGGCGCACCGTGGCAGAGGTTGCCTTCCCAAAGAGCGCTGCAGGGCCTTGGCTCCTCGTGTTCCTTTTCGCTACCTGTGACAACTCCTGTCATTAACAGTTGCTTTGTTTTGCGCCTGATGCAGGGCTGCTGGCTGCAGGACAGTTCCATCGGCCTTACCAACGAGACGGCTTGTTTCCTTACTCCTACATCTCAGCCTCCCCGCAGAGCCTCAGCTCCTTACCAGCAAAAAGCCCGGATCGGACTCCGATCCCTTCCAGAACGTGGCAGAGCTCCCTTGGGCTGCTCCCAGGACACAAGGCGTCCGCAGCCCTCCCAGACAAGGGGGTTGCCTTCCCCATATTCCAGAGGCTTCCGACAGAGGTCACGTACACCCTGCAGTCCGGTGCCTCTCCTGTGCCACTTCAGCAGGTCTCTCAAGCCATTGCCACTTCCCCTGCAAAGTACAGCAGCTACACGTCTCCCCTGCACTACTCACAAGCCTATTATCCAACAGGTAAGAAAAAGAATTCTAAAAGTCATATATATATATATATGTGCACTTTTCACAGTGCTCCGTCGTGTGTGTTTCAGTGAGAATTAGAAATTGTAAAGACTTTTAAAGACTTTTACAGCATTTTCAGTTCCATATTCCTGCCCTCCCTGCAGACTTGGTATCCTCTGGTGATTTTCCATACAGCCTCCAGAGGCTGAAGGGTGAGGAGGAGAACATTTGTCTGCACCTAGGCTGTTAGCCTAACCGTTAGCCTGACTTCCCTTTTTCTCTTTAATGTTTAATTAAGAAAATCTGACGGGGATGGCGTTAAAGCACAGAGGACTTATTGAAAAGTATCACACTGCTCCTTGCTCTCGTCTTTTCCCAAGTAACTTTTTAAAGCCAAAGATCAGCCGCAAATCTTCTGCAGAATGTTTCCTTCTGCTCTATAATCTTTGTCCCCGTTTTCTTTCCTTCCCCAGCAGTGTATTTCTGTGTGCTGCAGACAGGGGGGCTACAAAAATCTTCACTACCTCCTTCTGTCTGAAGCATTGCCGCTAGAATTTTCAGTCTTACTTCAGATGAGTTTTTGGGATTTGTTTTTCTAGAGGAGAATTGAAGCAAGTTATTCTCCTGTTTTCTGCTCTTGCCTTGAACTGGAAAAAAACACGCTTGTTTTGTTTATTCTTATTTTTTTTATTTCCCTGGAACTTCTGAAACCCGGAACACCGTGACTCTTGGCTTGGACAAACCCAGGCTCAGTGATTACTCTCACTTTCTGCCCGTTCCTCCCTTGGCAGCTGCTCCTTCACTGAGTCAGATATCCCTGTTTAGAAACCTTGCATGCGGTGGCTGCTGTCACTCTCCAAAAAGCACACAGTGAAATCTCCCTGTCTTTTGTGTGCTCTGAGGCCTCTGCTGGGAGCGTTCGCTTCCATTTCAGACAGCAGCCACCGGTTCCGTTACACTTCTTGTCAAGGAGGGATTCTGAGGAATTATGCAAATCCTGTGGACACTTGTAAAGATTTAAGAAACAGGGAACTTCTTGCCACGTGTTCCTTGCCCTGTGGTGTTACAGAGATCAGTGCAGAGAGTTTGCATTGCGAGCTGCAAGTCATTACGTCTCCTCCCAGGAGCAGGGTGAGCTGAGAGCACAGTTTAAGAGGGGAGACGGTCCCTTCTTGTCTCTATCTGGGTACAGCTCACCTGCAGTTCTAGATGTCTCTATCTCCACTACTCCTCCAGACCTCTTCTGTGGTCAGGAAAGGAGCTGGGCAGCGGGAGGCTGTGATTCACTGAGCTTTTAGGCTTTGTTAAGAGGTGCTGTGTGAGTGATCTCACTCTAATTTGCAGTATTGGCTGCGGAGGAACTGATTTAAACCAGCGTACGTAGATCCCTGGAACTGGGTGACACTGTTCTCTTCCACTGGAGTTATAAAAGTTTGAAGAAGAAATCAGTTATGCTCTTGAAAAAACCTTTTTTTCTCCTTTGAAACACCATGGGAA